ATATAATTACTAAACTTACTAATCATTTTTATAACACATTAAACCTATGGATATAATAATAATATATAATTACTAAACTTACTAATCATTTTTATAACACATTAAACCTATGGATATAATAATAATATATAATTACTAAACTTACTAATCATTTTTATAACACATTAAACCTATGGATATAATAATAATATATAATTACTAAACTTACTAATCATTTTTATAACACATTAAATCTATGGATATAATAATAATATATAATTATTAAACTTACTAATCCATTTTCGTTTCTTCCAAATCCTGTTTGGGTACATAACTGTCGTTGCCTTTTTTCTATTAACATTGGCTCGTTAGAGGGTGCTAGTGAGGGTTTATCTTGATAAATGAAACGCTTCAGTGGAAGAGATATCCTTCGAAGTGCACCACCAGGTGGCATTAAACGCTTAGAATCTAATATTCCACCAACTAATCTATCTTTTCCATTCAACAGTTCATGAGAATACATCGTTGTAGGTTGCCTTTTAGTTTGTAAAGTGAATGTTTCTTTGCCAATAGGTGGAGGTGATGGCTCCTTATTATCGGTTGTACTGTCTTGTTGTCTGATTTTATTCAAAATTGCAAGCTCTCTTAGTTGTTTCTGGCGTATTTCATCGTAATAGTCCTATAACAATCAACAACGTATTAAAAAACAAACATACTGTTATTCAACAAAACTACACGACATGTAAAACTATCATACATTTCCAACATTTATCCATGAAGGAATACTACTTTTACTTTTACCCAACATTTCCTACAGAAAAAGTATTCCTTTCGATATTCCAGACCGATGGAAACTACTTGAAACTATTTCAGTTCTACCAGAAGGTCTTAAAAGGGATTCATTTGGTTCAGTAAAGAACCAGTAAGTACTTACTGGAACCAGGAATAGTTTCAGTCGGGTCAGTAAAGAACCAGTAAGTACTTACTGGCACCAGTAATAGTTTCAGTCGGGTCAGTAAAGAAACCAGTAAATACTTACTGGTACTAGAAAGGGTTTCAGTCTGGTCAAGGCTACAGCCATACGTGAATAAGCCTCGGCTGCAGGAGCAAAAGCTGTTATTTCTACATGCAGGTCTTCTCGGAGATGAAAAAACTTGGGATCTTCAAGCTGGCGAAGGTCTTCTTCCTAATAGGACATGAAAAACAAACTTGAATAAAACCACGTGGAGGTACAATCATTAATTACAAACTATCCAAGACCTTCCTTGCAACTAATAACACAATATTCAGTAAATGAAACTTTTCTTCGTCATATTTCTTGTCATAGTCCAGTATCTAAAACCGAAAGCATGATATTAATTTCCCGAATCATTACTTTCATTAAATCAGACATAATTATTATGATTAGAGATACGCCAACTTCAACGCAGTTTTTGGCTTAATGCAATTAATAAACAGTCGTGACGGACGAAAAGTTAGTTTAAATGTGTAAAAAACACAGAAATGTGACAATGAACAGTTGTAGTTGAAATAACTCAGTAAACATTGGAAGTAAAAAACGTATTAAAAATCATTGGTATTTGAAATGTGTCACAACACATTGGCACTAGAAATGTGCTAGTGAACAGCTGGTATATGCCAGTTATATTAATTAAAGTGCTAACTCACCTTCTAGCTAGAGCACGTTCATTTTGAATATGTATGTATTATTAAACTGACCCAAGCTTGCACTAGAGGTGACGTACAGATATTAATGTTGTGAAAGATTATGTAAATTACTTAGTCACATGATATGTAACCTCGTGGTCTAACCACTAAATAAAAACCCGTTCTTGATCTTAAACGAATTAGTTAACGAGGTATAAGTAGAACAAATTATAATATAATTATTGTTGTTCGATATTTTTATTGAAGTTGAAGTGGTTCAGTAATTTGGAATGCTGTGTTGATGTTGTTGTTTTGGGGATTATGTTTCTTCTTCTTCTGGTTCTTTTTCCTATTTCCCTTATTTATTCAAATTAATAACATTGATTTTTACGATGTATTGTTTATTAACGCTTGTATCAAGTCCTGGCCAGACACGGATTTATTGACTGTTTTCTTTTTGATTTTAATATAAGTTATAAAACTTGTATTTCAACTATTTGAAAGTTTTATTTTGGATTTCTGTTGTTGTTACAGTTTAATACTTGTTTTTTGTTCGGTCTAGTTGTAGGGACATTTTGATTTATTCCGTTACACAGTGGTAGTAGAAATGTGTGGGTGAACAATAGTTGTAGAAATGTGTGGGTGAACAATAGTTGTAGAAATGTGTCACCCAACAATAGTTGTAGAAATGTGTGGGTGAACAATAGTTGTAGAAATGTGTGGGTAAACAATAGTTGTAGAAATGTGTGGGTAAACAATAGTTGTAGAAATGTGTCGGTAAACAATAGTCGTAGAAATGTGTGGGTGAACAATAGTTGTAGAAATGTGTGGGTGAACAATAGTTGTAGAAATGTGTCGGTAAACAATAGTTGTAGAAATGTGTGGGTGAACAATAGTTGTAGAAATGTGTCGGTAAACAATAGTTGTAGAAATGTGTGGGTGAACAATAGTTGTAGAAATGTGTCGGTAAACAAT